GTAGCATATCAGAAGATTCCCCCTGAAATGTGATTATAGTCCCAGGCATAGTAGTGCCATATTAATTGTCTACCTCTGAGGTATAGATAAAGAATACTGAAAGTACCATGAACTGCCAGAAGAAACACATTTGTCTTGAAAGCAATACGGTCAGAATGCTCCTTAGAAGAGGGGTTGGTGAAATTTCATCTCGTGTACTTTGGACCAGCTATTAGGAAAAACCAGTCTCTGGTAAGAGACAGGGAAAAGGACATCGTGCTTGGTAAGGTAGAAGGCCTGCAGAGAAGAGGAAGACCACCTGGGAGATGAACTGGAAGGGTGACTACGACAGTGGTTTCAAACATACTTGTGCTGTATGTGAAGCAGTAGGCAGTGTTTCGTTCCTTTGTGCGTTGGGTAGCTACTAGCTGGAACAGATCTGAAGGCACCAAAAAAAAAAAAAAAAGGCATAGGGGAGCAGTAACACTAATGAGGCACAGGTACCTTAGAATAATCAGCCACTGAGAGCACAAGAGCAGCTGTCAGCTAAGGACGAAATTCAAAAGGGTTAGGACAGACGGAGAAATGGAAACAGGAAACACAAGGAGGAATTGTGCTGAGTGACTGTACATTGCGGACAATGAATGAGGTGAAACAAAATGCATATTCATTGTTGAATATGAAACTGACAATTTGTTCTTAAACTTCATCCAATTGACAATTAAACCTGTTTGTTATACATTTTCATGGTATTTACAATGAATTAGTTGTTAGTGCTGGGAAATTCTAGCATGCAATCCCCAGTGACTTTCTTTCACCAAGACCATAATAACACATATATCATTGAAAGAACAAAGGAAAAGAAGAAAGAAAGAAACATAGTTAATAATCGAGACACATCAGGAAATACTATGGGGCTTTAAAGAGTACATAAAAATGAAATTAAAAGATAATGAAAAATTCATAGGAGCTTCATAAAGCCCCCATGTATTTGCATTTTAGAGTTTTTGATTTAGGCAAACTTTTTTTAAAAAGTCTTATTTGTTGTATATTTTTTTCAGTGCACATACTAATATTAACTCAAAAGTGCTTCTCCTATCTAATATAAATTGGATGGTATATTTTATGGAACATGATTATTTGATATGTTAAATGACCTTAACATTGCTTATTTAGCACATATCAATTAAGCTATTATAGTGTACAATTGAAGTATAACTTTATATCTTTAACCTTTATTTCTATGTGTATTTATATGTTTAAACACATGTATATTCTCAAGAGAATATAAACTTTAGGGTTATATTTGAAACTAAATTTATCATTTCTGAAAGTGCTTAAAATTTTTTGTTATTGCTTTAGGTAACAGATATGATGCTGCAGGACAAACCTTATCCTGATTGGGGAAAATCTGCAAGAGCTTTCTGGAAGAAAGGAAATGTTAGGATCATTTTATTCTGGTGAGCCTTTATCTATCTATCTATCTATCTATCTATCTATCTATCTATCTATCTATCTATCATCATCATCTATCATCTATCTATCCTTTGCTTTGTTCATCAAAAGGCGTCAGTTGGATACAATTTTCTCTATAAATACAAAATTCTATCCAAAGAAGGATGTTTAGTTGATACTGTGCTCATTAAAATGATGAAAGATCACTATGATAATTAATATCATAATTAATTAGTGTTTACATATTGTATATACACATTTACATGAGATGATTTTTTTCTAGAGTTAAGTATGTTTTGACATATCAAAACTAAGCTATAATTATAATCAATGAATTTTCATGGAAAAAGCAATCTCTATTACATTTTGAATTCCAAGTATATTTCATAGATGTGATTTTTATCTGATTGATTTATATGAAGAAAAAAAACCTCTCCATTTATTTTACCTATTTTCATGTCTCCTCTATATTTTAAAGAAAAAATGCATGTCTAATGAACTTTGTTTTCGGTGAGTCTCCATTATTTATGTGTACTCAAACAAGTGTAAACAAGAAAGATATAAGAGGGGTACCCCCTCCCCAAATGTGAAAAAGCTCCTCTGGGTGGAGCTTTAGTGGTATCCACCCCCCCACCCCCCCTTAGTGCACCCAGGGTGATGCGTGGGTAGGTTCCCTCTGGTCACAGTGAATTTTTTTGTAAAAGCAGTTTTGCTCAAATCTTATTTTTTTCTGGTCGCTGATTTCAGAGAACCGTGTGTGGCTGTGAAGTTTTGTTTCCTGCTCAGGAAAAATGCCACGGAAACTATTGTGATGTTGAACACAGCTTACAAGGATAGTGTTATGGGGAAAAACTCAAGTGTATGAGTGGGGTTTCTCCTTTCAAAGAAGGCAAAATGTCGGTTGATGACAAACCTTGTTCTAGACATCTGTCAATTTCCAGAATGGATGAAAATGTTGACAAAATGTGTGCACTTGTGCTCAAAGACAGACGATAGACCACTGAAGAGATGGGGAAGTTATCTGGACTAGCTTGCAGTTCAGTTTAGCAAATTTTAGTGGAAGATTTGGGAAGGAGAAGGTTCGCTGCAAAATTAGTGCCCTGGGTTCTGACTGACTAGGAAAAAGAGCATCCACATGGTATGCTTTGAAAGAGCAGCTCTGAATCAGTCAAGACTTTTTCCCCCAAGGTCAAAGCCATGAAAGACAGCAATTTCATGAAGAGGTAAAGAAAAAATGAGGGAGGTGCTGTCAGCCATGCAATCAGATGAGTTTGAAAAATATTTCCAAGAATGAAATTACAGATTATACAAATATATTAAGTATAATGTACAGTACTTTGAAGATGATAAGGTTGTTTTGTAAAAAAATTTAAATATATATCTTTGAAAAAAATTCCATTTTTGGTGGGTATACCCTCTCATATATGCTAATACTACTAGAAAGAATCTTTCATTGGATGAGGACACTGTTTAAGCAAAGAGATTCAATGTGATATATGAAATATTATGCACTGTAATAATACTCAAAATTTTAATTCATGCTAGCGATTGCCTGGTAAACTCCATTCTGTTTATCTTCCTTTTTTTCTAAAAAAAGTAAATTCTTAGATTCAATTCGGAGATTTTAACAGGAAGCTGAAAACACTACAGTATCAAAGTACTGGGGAAAAATATCCACTCTAATCCTCTCTTTGCCATGTAACACTACATTAACTATTGTTTGAGATACATGACTTTTTGAACTCAATTCTTAGCAGGTAAACAAAAATGGACTTTTCAATAATGATGTAAAAATGAATATGATTTAGTAAATTTACTCACACCTGTCTACGAGTGTTGTTATTGTTAGATACCTTCAAGACATTTTAAGTTCAGAACAACTCTATCTACAATAGAAAAACACTGCCTGGTTCTGTGGTATCCTCATAATCATTGCTAAGTTTGAGCCCATTGTTGCAACCACTGTGCCAACCTATTTCATGAACGGCCTTCTACTTTTTCAGTGACTTTTTACTTTACCAAGTGTGTTAAGTTGGCGTCTCCAGCGAAGCAACACCAATGACACTTGTAGGTGTTTATACATGGAAAGAGATTTTTATGAAGAAATGACATAGACAGTTGTAGAAATAGGTAAGTCCAGTCCAGCTCAAATGAGGCTTCTCCTGATTCATGGAAACTGACAAGCAGGAGGCAGCATTATGATGCGGAGACAGCAAGGTGCACAGGCTGGTGGATGTAGAAACTCAAAGTTGGCAAATGAATCCATCATTGGTAGTTTACTGTTAGCTTCTGGGATCTGCAGGTGATGCAACAAGAAATGCAGGAACCAGATGCAAGAGTCAGCTCTGGCAGATGAAGGGCCAAAGTGGATTCAATGCTACTTGATCTCTCTCTTTTCTGTAGAAAAAGGCTTATGAAACCCAGGAGTTGTCATCAGGCCGTGAATCACTTGATAGGTTGGACTTGACCCCTACCTGTGCCCAGGAGAGTCTGTTGGCATATCCCTAATTATCACCCGAAGTATGATATCCTTCTCCAGGTACTGGTTGATTCTGTTAAAATGTACAAAATACATGAGAGCAAGTCTTACCATCTCATGTTTAAGGATCATTTTAGCTAATTGCTTCTGAGACAGATTTGCTCATTGTTCTGGCAGTTCATGATATATTTTTTTGTTGAAAAAACTCATTGGTCTTATAAAATTCTATCCTGCAATTTCTGGTGTCATTTCTATCTGCAAGTCCATATTTTCCAAGTAGTGATTCTTCCCTGTTTCCAGCTTTCAATTCCCAACCACCAGCAATTATCAATGCATCTTGAATTAGGGGGCATTTGTGGTGAGTATGCAAACGTGATTAACACTCATATTAGCTCGTCTTCCTTGTAGGCATGTAGGTGTTATCCTTCTACTAACAGTGTTGTGCTTCAGGATAGATCTTGAAATATTCATTTGGATGATGTTTCTCTTCAAGTTTCCCCTTTACACGTAGACTGTGATTCACAAAGGGCAGTGCCCTTCCATTTTAGCTCACTAACACCGAGCACATTGATCATTATATGTTGTATTTCATTTTTGACACCTTCTAATGTTCCTAGATTCATACTTTACTCATTCTATATTCTGATAGCTAAAGGATGTTTGCAATTATTACAGTAGTGTCTTTCAGTATTGTGACCTACAGTATTTTCATTTTTTAATCTTATTATTTATTTATTTATCTATCTATCTATCTATTTATTTATTTATTTAAACGTTTTATTAGGGGCTCATACAACTGTTATCCCAATCCATACACACATCAATTGTGTAAAGCGCATTTGTACATTGTTTCTCAAAACATTTTCTCTCCACTTAAACCCCCGACATTAGGTCCTCATTTTTCCCCTCCCTCCCCGCTGCCCCCTCCCTCATGAGCCCTCTATAGTTTATAAATGGGTATTTTGTCATATCTTGCCCTGTCCGACGTCTCCCCTCACCCACCTTTCGGCTGTCTGTCCCCCAGGGAGGAGGTCACACACATTTCCATGTAATCGGTTCCCTCTTTCCTACCCATTCTCCCTTTACCCTCCCTGTTTTGCCACTCACACCACTGGTCCTATAGGGCTCATCCATCCTGGATTCCCTGGATTTTCAGTTCCTATCTGTACCAGTGTACCTCCTCTGGTCTAGCCAGACTTGCAAGATCGAATTCGAGTCATGGTAGTGGGAGCGGGGAGGAAACATTTAGGAACTAGAGGAAAGTTGTATTTCTCATCATTGTTACATCGCACCCTGACTGTCTCATCTCCTCCCCGAGACCCCTCTGCAAGGGAATCTCCAGTGGCCTACTAATGGGCTTTCGATCTCCACTCCGCACTCCCCCCATCATTCACTATGGTAAGATTTTTTGTTCTGATGATGCCTTACACCTGATCCCTTCGACACCTCGTGGTTGCATAGGCTGGTGTGCTTTTTCCATGTGGGCTTTGTTGCTTCTGAGCTTGATGGCCGCTTGATTACCTTCAAGCCTTTAAGACCCCAGACGCTATACTTTTTGATAGCCAGGCACCATCAGCTTTCTTTGCCAAATTTGCTTATGCACCCATTTGTCTTCAGTGATCCGTTCGACACCTTGTGATCACACAGGTTGATATGATGTTCCATGTGGCCTATTTTTATAGTGGTATTTTACCTCAAGATTTTTTCTTGTTTTTAAACTTTCCATATAGCTTTTAAGAATCGCATGTCATCATGACAGCAAGATAGCTAGATAACAAGTACTTATTCAATAAACTGCTGACCACTTTACTTTCTAAATATTAATTCATTTAATCTTTATGTTCTGATAAATCAATAAACTGCCTGACCACTTTACTTTCTAAATATTAATTCATTTAATCTTTATATTCTGATAAAGTTGGAACTGTTATTATCAACATAGATGTCTGACCCTGATCCTCCAATTCTTAATCTTTAGACTATCTTGCTTCTAGGAGAACCAAAGAATACATAGATTTCCCTGTATCTAAGATGGTTTTCTTTACCCTTCTTTGTATAAAAGTGCAAAATATGAACGGCAAGATTCATGAAGAACTGATATTCTGAGATTCCAGGCCCTACAAAATTCCTTAGAGGGATTTTCAGAATCATACTTTAAAATGAGGTAGAAGATAATTTAAAACATTTCATGGACTCTCTGTAAATAATATCCACGGAGAATTTTAACCAAGTTCTGTATTATGTAGCATAACTTCAAATGCAATCCATACATGATTGCTTACTACTAAATATCAAGGTGACAATTCACTTGTAATCACAAGCCATGCAATTGGTAACCTGTAGGTGCCTACAGGTGTTCCCATCAGCTATTATTAATCACAATCACTATCTCAAGGAGAAATTCATACCAATTTTTTCCTAAAACATATTAGTATATTTTTCTTTAAATATCCTTACTTAGGTCTATATTTTGCTGGTCTCTTTTTATTAATGGGTTTATTTTTAGCACATATGATATTGTACATC